TTTAAAAATAGTAATAATGATAATTATTATTATTGATGTTATAATTATAATAATTGCATGTATAAATCGCATATCCACGTTTTTCAACATGCTCGATGCAGGCGCTTTACAACGATATACCACCACCAGTATACCAGAACAAGACATGTATTCATGTATAATGGTAATGGTATCAAAACAAGATGTACCTGCGCTAAATATACTATTTTTATACTACTGTGTATTCCTGCTACAAAACACCACAACTGAAAGAGCTGCGGAGCTGGCCTACCATAGAAAACTGCATCTCCCCGCGACGCTTAACGGCCACAGAAGATGAAAAAGTAAAGTGTATTCCCGCGCCAGAGACCCAGAGAAACTCCGTGAACTGGCGAGTTGACATGTATTTTACGTCGTGTCTTAGTTGTTGTTTTTGTCTTGTAAGTAGAAAAGAAAAGAACGAAGCAGACTACCCAACAACCAGCATGCAGTTGTGAGACAGTCAACTGGGATTCTAATGGTGAACTCTCTCTCTCTCTCTCTCTCTCTCTCTCTCTCTCTCTCTCTCTCTCTCTCTCTCTCTCTCTCTCTCTCAATGTATATTTGACAATTTGTGTTTTAGTTTTAGTAAGGTTGTTTTACGACGCTCGCAACTGCATAAGGTCATCTGAGCGCCAAGGGATGGATGTCAACAGAGAAGTCCAAACGGGGAATTAGGCTTACTCTGCTCACCTCTCAAGCCCTAACAGCACAAAGTCTGCTTCAACTATCATTAGTATCAAGACACCTCAGAAATAGCGCGTCACAAGAGACTGACAAACATACAAAAGATGTGGAGGGAAAAGGACGATAGAAAGGATGAGGAAAGAAAAAGCAGCAGTTCCCCCTTTGTTGTTCCGGCACAGTATGAGCATGACATTGATAAATCAGCCCATTTACAATTCTACTGTGCATTTGGGAATGGCCTAAAGTAGACATCTTCAGTCAGTAACACTGCCCTGGTTGGGGGGTATATTTCAGTTTGTGTGTGTGTGTGTGTGTGAGAGAGAGAGAGAGAGAGAGAGAGAGAGACGACCACCTGAATCAATAACTTTTTTCGTAAAAAAAAAAACCCAGACAAACAAAAGGCGTGCAATGATTACTCTTTAACATGGATCGCAAAAGTTCGTTATTCAGAAGTTCCAGCTAATTATACACATCATAATATTATTTGTAAAAAATACCAACAAACAAAGGACGAAGAAAATGGGCACAGTTCTGGCAAATTAAATGCTGTATGCTTTATTTGTCTTTTGTGGTTACATGTACATTCACGTTACGATTCTAATAATAGATTCCCCACATTCCGTGGATGACAACGGGTTATTTTTGCTCATGTTTATGTTTTATTTATTCATTTATTTTTATTTTTATTTATTTGTCTGTAAGCTTTATTTGTCTTTAGTGGTTACATGTACATTCACGTTATGATTCTAATAATAGATTCCAGACGTTCCGCGGATGACAACTGGTTATTTTTGCTCATGTTTGTTTATTTGTTTATTAATTTATTTAT